GGACGGTTCTCACGCATTTATAGCCCTTCATCACGCTTTCCATTCGACCTAATTGCCTCGATCGACCACCGTGAGAACCACTGTTCCGTACTGTTTCTACAAATATGCGATGTATCCGTCATTTCTCCAAAATCAAACGAACCATTTTTCCACGAATTCGCCTATCAAGAGCGTGCCTATGCAACGTGCATACGATATCGGTGTGCACTTGAAAATATTTTCGGTAAAATTATTTCCACGTTAGTAAAATTGTTCCGCATTGCAATCCCATGTCGAAGGAGAAACAAAAGAAATTGGAATCGTACGGTGTTCGAGTGTGTAACAATGGTTGAGAATCATTGCTCTGTGATACGATCGTACCGTGATCAATAATACGGTCGTACGGCCGGTATAAAAGAAGGCGACTCGCTCAACTTGAACGTTAATGAGTCATTCGAGAGCTGTGTTTGACACGTATCTGGTACTTAATTGCACCGCTGACGAACGTTAACTTTTAACAAATTCGTCGAGCGTGCAACAAATTATTCATGCACCAGGGTTAACCCTCGATAACCTAGATTCCCCGCGAGAAAGAACGAGCAGACTTCGTATTGTAGAAGATGATAGTTAATAAATCTTTCGTTTTTATATCACCTGATCGCCTCGGTCGCTAGAACGCTCTGAAAGGAGTTTACTCCAGTGGAACAAAGAAAGTCAATGCCGTGACGTTACCACGAGGTTTTTACGGTTTACTCTAAATCCCGTTACGAGATTTCGCCTCGTACTGGTTCCCGGTGAACTATTAAGAAAGAGCGTCAAAGCGTATCGGAAGGGGGTCGATAACCGGCGTTCGATACATCGAATCCGAGAGAAGTCGTGAGCAAGAATCGCAGGAATTCGACGCGAACGTTCGTTTCCGCGTAAAGTCATAATATCGCCCAGCGAATTCTCTCCTCTCCTCTCTGGCTATGTCCGTCGTAAACTAACAAGAAAATCGTTGCTCGAGAACGCCGTTCGAATATGAAATTTTATTTCTACCATTGCGCTAGATTTCTCTGATCGCGATCGTTTCTAAGCAATCTAACAGAGTTAATTATCGAGAACAGAAAATTCAAATGATATCGCTCTGTCCAAATTTCGATTGTTTTAATACCTTACCAAGGTTAACAACTTCATAAATATTTATTATTTTATAACGTGTCGCCATGTGTTATACATGAAACGATCTATTACAAGGTAATGAAACGTTCGTAATTGGGTAAGAAAGTAAGGATATTCTTGGGCGTCACGAAAGTCGACGACAGGGAAAAAGAGAGGAGAAAGAAGGTACGCCCCGGTGTACAGAGAGGATACTACTCGAATAGGAACCGGAACTCGCGGTCCGTGCTCGGAATCGACTACACGATTGCACATGTACGGCCGTGCATATGAATCAGATAAAAGGGAGCCGGGCCGAAGAGGGGTCTCGTATGGCCGCGAGGCGCGGAGAGAGAGGTTATCGGCTCCGTCATTGATTTCTTCGTCGCACGAAAATAAATCTCGGTATCAGAGGGGGCACATACAGAGGCGGACATTTTCAAAACCGTACGAACGGGTATCGAAAATCGTGTAACAAGAATATGCTCTGTACGATCGTCCTGATACTAACCAAGACGATACTGTGATTACTTCGACCAAAAAGATTAAGTCTTTACGCTTCCATGTCCAATTTGCTCCGATATTGATACGGCTTCGTTGGGGACTTTTTAGAACGGTACCATATCTCGAAAACTGCTGTCCCAACAAATTAATTTCATTCTCATTAAAAATCCAAAATTGCACCAAAGTACTTTAATACGTTCATCGTTAAAAACAGTTGGAACTGAACAGTGTAAAATAACTGTGTCCGGAAGGAATATTTCAAGCGCGAGAATTAACACGTACTTGACATACAGATGGACATATTATTAATTTCATGTTGTTACCTAAGATCAGCACCATATACGAGCTTATTCGTAACAGACGTAAATAAGGATTAGGAGAGTTTGAATATTAATTACAAATAATCTTGGTGTTATAACAATCTTTTATCGTGTAAAAAACCTCGTTATTGGTATAACGAGTTATACCGATATTTCCTTTCGATTCGATTGAAAACCGTGAAATTGGAGTATTTGTAAAAAAAGGAGTAGAAAATTACGTGTCACAAATAGTCGATTTTGCGCTTTTGATTTACGATGCAAATGCGATACGTACTGTCAATTTTAATTCGATGCGATAAGGAAGAAAGAAATGGTTGTACTCGTGTTATTACCGAAAATGGGCGACGATGAAATTAACGAGAATTTTTCAATATTTGTAAAATTCAGAACCGGTGATGATCTCAGAAAACAAGAGAAGCAAAATTTGTTCCACTGTAATGGCTCGTTCGAGAAAGAACGCTATCTTTTTGTTCGACAACGACAGATCCCCGTAACTCTCTTTGACCTAGCTAACCTTGAATCGAGCAACTTCGAGTCGCATATTGTATCAAGAATTCGAAATAAAAATGTAAGTTCGAAGCACGGTAAACAACAAAATAGCGTTCGGCTGCGTTGCCGCTAAATTTTTCTACAGAATCTATCGTTTCGTTATAATTGCGTTTTTATTTCGTCAGAAAAATTCGTAAGACTGAAACGTATTTAATCGTCGAACTCCGAAAGATCGTAACACAAAAGTCTACTTCCGTTTACATCCATCTTGAAAATTTAAACATTGATCGTGTACTGGTTTGTATCTGTCCTACCAATTACGAAATAAACACGAAAATTCGGTAACGTCAGATGACGCATATTCGTACAAGAAACAAGCGGAAACTCGACGCCCCGCCTGTCAATCAGGAAAAAGTCCCATACGCGACGCATCGCGTCGAAAATGCGTTCTCAACATAGAAAGTCTAAATTTCACGGCCATATTCAATTTCGAAAATTCTATATATTTGTTAGAAAATCACTACGATCCACGTGCTACGAAATACGTTTTTCACAGAACCGGCGTCACCCGGTGACACGCCGTTACTAAACTTTTCGATTCAAGGTCGAAGTAAGGCGAATTAACGAACAAAAATTGATTCACTAGTAAAAAAAAGTATTTAAAAAGACAGGGCAGCTTGTACTCACCGTTAGCACCAAAATATCCTGGAGAAATCTGTCGAAATACGGATCCCAAGCACTTGCAAACAACACTTCACTCGAGTACGCCGGTCACTGCGCTTGTGCGTTCAAATTCACCATCCTTGAGCGAAATACTGCTGCCATCTTACGCGTCTAGCTACCAACTAATTCCCCCACAAAGCCCGTTCACAAAGGTGGCGGCAAGATTTTCGTTTTAATTCTTATCCACATGAAACGCGATAACGATTAATTACTAATTAACAATATTTTTACGAATTTACTCGAACGAAATTTATAATGGAACGTTTTAAATAGTCACGAAAATTTTATTCGTCGCAATTAAGATACGAAACATAATCATAACCTTATGTTAACGACTTACGCGCGTCACGATTCAAAGTGCTGGAAATTTTTACTAATATTTATCCTCTCAATTCGAGCCATTTTTTTTAGAACTGTTGTTACTTGTAAACTTATAAAATGAAATATGTTAACATACCACAGGACACGTGTGAAAAGATTGAAATTTAATTCCGTGTAACATGTTTGGTTGTCATAGAAAACAATTAAGAATCTAACGTGTTCCCAGATTTAAATAACTACTTACGTATTGCAAATTAAAAATAACATGTGTATAAATTTTTAATTCTTTATTCTCGTTTCCGTATCTATACCATAAAAACTACGTCCATATTCTTCTTTCCATGCCCAAAGTACAAAAACCCATAATGTGGACTGTTTATTTTATGGTAAAATGTCATACCAGGCCAAAAGAAACTGTGTAAAATTACTAATCGTTTTGCGAGTTGAAACTGTAAATCCCAGCAGCCTAAAAAAAGATGTAAGACTTCAGAAAAGTAATCAAAGATTATTAGAAATGTTCTTATACCTTGTGGAACATCCAAATCAATTGTATCTAAAAAATCTATCGCGTAATTATAATCGGGTCTAGTAAGCAGGTTAGTGTTCCACTTTTGTTGTGGTGGACGAGCATGTAAATAGGATTTTAAATATGAGGCATCGTTAAGAGTAAGTCCCTCAAAACTTAAATTTTCGATACATTCGCCATTAGGACACTTGAACCATGCGCCACGTGGAACTACTGCGGCGTCTTCTCTAATTAATTCTACCGTAGCTGCAAGTCTATCTTCCTCTTTCAGTTCTTTGGGAATAGGCCCCTAATGTTTATGAAATTCTACGAATTACCTAAATTACTACATTTTGACTGAAAAATTTATTTGTAAAACTGTATTGAACTCACGTCGTAATATTTCTTCGGATCCTCGTTTGGCGGGAATGGAGGATTTACATTGTACACTTTAGTAACTATAGAAGGATCTCCTTCAAATTTGTTAACTGCTAGTGGCGTTAAAAATCTTGCGCATTTATTAGCCTTTGGTAGTAACAGCCAATTTAATCCATCGATACTAATTGAAATAACTTTTTAATATTCTTTTACTTTTTTGGGAAAAAAATATTTTGAACCGAAGTTAGTCTGCATTTTTTCTACAGAAAGTTAAGATTGCTTTAACTTTTATAATCGACACCGTGTACGTAATTTAATCCTCACAATTTTGATAGACTAACCTTTATTCAAAATATTTCTTTTACGAATTATCGGAAGTGTCAAAAAAGTGGATTTTATTAATCTTGCCTGTAATAATATACTTGACCGTTCATGCAGTCCTTTTCAAAACCATATGCGATATGGTAATTATTTCGAACTCCATAAATTTGACCCCAATAGTAACACTTTCGAAAATGATTTTCTTGTTGCAATACCAAGAGAGAATTTTGTAATAATTGCGAATTTTCTATTCCTACGCAAATTCCCGCGTAACCGAGCATATCTACACTGTCTAACAGCCAAAAACATTCCATTTTCTTTTGAACGGTTTTATTTGGGAAATAAGATGAATTTTAAATCGTTTCAAAAACAATCGAAAATATGGAATGATTTTCACATCTTAGAAAAAAAGAATTGTATTTAATTCATGCCGCAAGAAAAGTATTTCGAAGATTCCAGCAGATGGATCTAAATTCCGTTCAGAGTGTTTGTTTACGTAGTTGAAGAATAACAATGTCATCGTCCGAAGAAGAAAATGATCAGTTGATGGATTTAGAAACTATACGAGATAAAATATTAAGTCAACCACGTAGTGAACGCATGCAAGTAAGTGCTTGGGAAGATGACGATGACGGGATAGAAGCTGAACGAAATGCTAAAGGTTAAGTCACAGTTTTGGTACTGTGTCTTATCAACATCATTAAAAATCACTTCAATAATGTATTTTTCTTCTATTTGTAGAACCTGATGCTAAAGAAATTCTAAATGCAGCTGAAAATGGCGAACTGGATAAAATAAAAAAATTGGTAACGCAAAATCCATGTCTATTAAACTCTACAGACAAGGATGGTTACACTGCTCTACATAGAGCTTGTTATGGAAATCATGTGGAAGTTGTGGAGGTATAGACATGCTATTTTGTGGATATAATTTCTCTCACATAATTATTACTCCTAAATTTCTTTCTTATTCTATTTCTTCCTTATAGTATTTACTTCAAGCAGGTGCAAAGATAGATGCTAAAACTATGGATGAATGGCAACCATTGCATTGCGCATGTTGTTGGAACAATGTTGAATGTGCAGCAGTGTTAATTGCAAATGGAGCAGATATAAATGCTAAAAGCAAAGGTGATCAGACACCTTTGCATTTGGTATCAGCAAGTTCTCATAATTCTCCAGCTTTGCAGCTGCTTTTACTACATCCTGACACTAACCCACATATAGTCAATTCCAGTGGTGATACAGCAGAAGATATTGCAAAAAGGACAGGAAAGTATTATCCAATGTTTGAAATCATCAGGGACTACTTAAATGTTATTTGAGGTAAGTCAAGAGATTTTTCTGTTGCTTAATAAATTTATTGAATATACTTATATACACATGTTACAACATAAGGAATATAAAAAGTTCATGAAATCAAGAGTTTGATTTAAGCGTATCTTCGATATACTATGATTAAGATTATAAATATATATTAATAACAGCACCTGTGCTTCCTTTGTAGGTGCATTATGTATTTTAATACAACAAAGTATAAAAATATAGATGTTTATATATTACTAGAAAGATAACAAAAATTATTGTAATAAAAATTTCAATAAAATAATACTTCAACAATGCTTAGTTTTGTTGCTTGACGTATGAATGTATAGGTTATAGACTATTTTAAGAGCATTAACAGAACATATTTGCTGATTGCGAGTATATAAACGTATTGAAAATATGTTATTAGTATCATAAATTTTTAAAACACGATTCTTTTTCTTTTGTAAAGCATCTACTGATGAAGTAGAAACGGATTTTTTCTAATATTTAAAATAAAGTGTGAATTTTGTGTATGTATTCGAACAGTATTTTGACTTTTATTTACAATGATGTTAAGTTAACGAATTTCGGAGTACCATTACTCAAACGTTTTGATCCTTCCCATATGAGGACAGTAAAATCTTCAGTTACTGCATACAAGTGATGTTGATCTAAGGCCCATGCTATTGCAATTACAGCCCCACATCCTTTGATACCATTCATAATTTCTCTGACTAATCTCAAATCCCAACTGCTCCATAATCTTATTACTCCGTTATCTAATCCCGTCGCAATAACATTTACGGAAACCCCTTCTGGTGCGTTGCTATAGCAAAGAGCTGTTATTCTTCTTCTAGACAAAACGGATCCAACTGCTCGCGCATTTATTGTGAATATTTTCAATTCAGATTGACTCGAAGCGTTTTCTCTTGTTCCAACAATATCATAAGTAACTGCAATATCTCCAAGAGTTTCGCTAATCGATAATAAACGAATAGGATAATTTTGATCGCATGATATGGATCTTATATACATTAAACTGCAACAAAATATAAATAATGATTTACAAATAAAGGTTTATTTTTGTTTGAACATTCGTGAATATATGTACCTGTTTAAATCCCAGATGACGATGACGCCACTGGCATCACCTGAGACAGCTATGCTAAATGCTCGCGAAAGAGATATTGTCGTTATTCTGTTTCTATGAGCTAAAAGAACAGATGCTGATGCCGAATTAAAATCAATTTTACTTGTCACAACGGTATATGTGTGCACCGTTATTCTACCAGATAGGTGTCCAGCCCATAATTGTCCACAGTCTGGAGCAGAACTTAAAATAGTAATCTAAAGAAAGGGATCATAAAATCATTAGACGAATTGGTTCGAAAAAAGAAAGAATTTCGATTAAAAGATTTATGTTGCTTACTGGATCAAGACCAGAAGACTTAATTAATGGTCTTGGTGGTTGTTCTTTTTTACATTTCAGTCTTGTGATTCCATCTGTACCACCCCATGATACTAAAGCAGCGGCCAATACAGATGTTCCACTTAACATACTAGCGCCTAAAAATGATGTATAATTTATACATACATATACAGATATAAAGCATAAGTTTTAGAAATGAAAAGGACTTACCCTTTTCCTTTGTATAACCAAGCAAAAGAGTAGTATAACTAGGTAATCCAAACACGTCACCGGTCATTAGCGGAATTAGAGACGCTAATGGTGCTCTATGTTTATGTTTCCAACATAAAACCGGTTCATTTCCGGGTGCACCAACATAATTTCCCCATTTGATGCCTATAATTATAAGATCATACTCAATACTGAAATTTGTAACCAAAAAACGTGATTGAAAAATGTAACATACCATTTACACCTTCGATAACTTGTGGTAATGGGTTATGTATTATTGTACTTCCAAGGTTCTGAATTGGTAATGGATGAGCAGCTCTGAATAATTGTGCTGGTGTCTGACCGTATGTGCGCACCATTGTTTCCCAGGCTTGACGTTCCAAAGGATCCGCTATTTGTTCAACATTGAATCCATAGTAAGTCTAAAAAGTATAAATTCTTCAATTTGAAATTAACATTTCAAATAGTTGTCGCACAAATCTTGATTCGAACATACCGCAGGATGAAAAACATTTATAGCTTCCACTGCTGGTCTACCAGTTTGTCTAAATCCAAAAACCAGATCGATCCAATAGGGTAAAACTTCTCGAACAACATCTGCTTCTAAAGCTGCTCTATGAGCAAGAATAAAAAGTCGGGCATCGCCTCCACACCATTTTGGTAACTCGACATCTCCTACGCGATTACCATTCTGTCGAATCCCAAAGTTAAATCCTAAAAATGAATGTTATACATAAGTATTGATCGCTGACAATGTTACTATTGAATTTAAGGTATATTACCTTCAGAATTTAATAAGAATTCAGGTAAATAAAAGAATTCAGGAATTAGTTCTTTCACATCGGTTGTGGAATCGCAACTAGTTAATCTCCACGTGGTAGCCAATGCGTGGAATGTTCGATCAGGAATGTCAAAATTGTCATCTTTAAAAATAAAAATTAATGTAATTAAAATCAAACTCTTGGCATATATATCTAGAGAATAGAAAATATAATTTACCTTGATAACATAGAAACATGCTAGTGAATGGCGGCAATCGTACCAAAAAGTGTAATACCGTTCCAGAATTACTATAGTGTGATCCATAATGAAATGGTTCTTGATTCAAAGCAATTAAGTTTAATCCTTCAGATAAAGCTTGCTTAAGATACTAAAACAACATTATGAATAATATATTTATCCAATTGATAAAAGAAAGTATCTATTAGTAATAAAAATAACTTACATTATAATTGTTTATATAATGTTGTTCATTTTTCTTATCCTGCACAGCCATAGGACGTTTGAAATTCCTAAATAAAAATTTGCATTATTGCTTTTTTATTTACACAACTTTTATTCTTCCTGCGGTATTTACCTGTAAATTTTCGGGTTATTTAAATCAATGTTTTCACTCGTATAATCTGCTAGCACAAATGGGAACACAGGGTATTGCATTAAATCATTGTACGAACGACCAGCTAATTTATTTAAACAGGTTATATATTCCCAATTCGTTAAAGCCCCACTTCTCCACAAAGTGATAGCTTCGTTTAAATCATCACCGGGTACTCGTCTTGGTAAATTGCAAGCAGAGAGTTCTGTTACAAACTCGTCTCTTTCCTATAAGTTAAATATTATAAATTTGCATCCAATCTGTACTGCTTCAAATCAATGCGTACCTTCGAAGAATTAAATGCAAGTAAATAAGTTCTTCCAGTAATCAGAAATATTTCAATAGCTCGCTCTTGAAGTTGATATCTTCTTCTATGCAATTCTCGAATATCTTCCAAATGCCATGCTGTTCCACCTACCATAGCTAAATCCAGACCTCCCAGAGCTATCTGTAATTTTAATACAAATAATTAAATACACACTAATCGATTTAAATACGTATTGTCACACTTTACAAACTCACATCCGTTTGTAATGGCACATCAGGATTATCAGGAACAAAGTAAAGACAAGTTTCACCGATAAGAACCTCGCCAGCTAATTCAGCTCTAGGTGTAACCACTTTGGCTTGAGACATTTTACGTATTCTTTCGCTAGTGTGTAATCGCTCGATTAATGCTGAAGCATTTGCATCTTGGCGATCAGTCATAAATAGGTAGGACAAAGGCGCTTCAAATTTCACTGCATCTACAAATTAAAAAATTAAACACAATTCGATATAATTAAATTAAGCTGAAACCGTAGACATGAGAATGAATGTCCAACCTAATTTATCTTGATATTCAGCCATAAAAAATCTTTTGTCAATATTCAAGTGACATCGTTGTAGTCGTATTCTGACTCTAGCTGGACCTTCCGTTGGGTCCAGTTCCCAACTTCTTGGATAACTATCTGGAAAGTGCCATGGAGCTCTTTCATGAGTTAAACGACGTGCTAAATCTCTCCACTTAGCAATCGCTTGGGCTTCCAATGCTCTTGTATGTTTCAGTCTTTCCATTAATACTTTACGTTCTCGATTTTGTTCCTCCACGACCATTCGTGTTATAGTCATGGCACTTTCGGTTAGCTGTTTAGCAAGTACGTCAAATCTATTGGCGACCCTGACAAAAAAGAACATTTTATTGAATATAATGGTTACAAACCACAAAAATCATCGAATCTTTCTGCTTTGTTCATTTACCTTTGAATCGCTGGAAGATTGTTATCAATCCATATATCTCGATCTCTCATTAATTCTCGTCTTAGCAATGCTAGTTCCTCGTTCCATATGCCAGGACTAGCTTGTTCTATTCCTTTCGCTAAATCCCATATGCTCAATGCTTCTTTCAATTCTAAACATATTCTCGCATCGGCACTAGGTATTTCATCTCGTCTTTGCAGAAGATCCCAAAAGAACACAGTAAATTTTTGTTCTACCTAACATAAATACATAGATGATTACGCGATGTAAGACTGAAATAAAAACAAATCTGCTGTAACCGATAAGTTTACCTGTGGATGGACTTCTAAAAGAGAAGACAGAATTTCACGTGCTTTCGGTTCTTCCATGAGTGATCTAACAGCAAAGATCCTAGTGTTATTACTCTGATGGGGTCCAAGTAGCCACACCATTATCTTAGCCGTGTATTTTCTCAAAGCATGTCTCGTAGACCATCCGCTACTCCAATGATTTTTCTTCTCTAACGGATTACAAAAACCGTGCAAAAGAATCGAGAATAATCTTTTGGTTAATTGTAACTCATTTCCTGACGGTGATTCATCAGCTGCCGTTATAAATTCGACGGCGCGCGTTAGAATAACTCGAAATCGATCGAGTATTTCCCCTTTGCCCGGTTCGCGTGAAATCGCGATTGAAGATGGATGCAAACTGGTGTAACTGGATGAACGGGAGCCATGATCGCTTTGATCGCTTGATGTTGTGAAGACTGAAAAATATGAAATTATAAATCAACTGTACGTCAAAATATTGTAATATTTTTCACGCGAGTTTTACCCGAAGTAATATGAGATGCTGAAGCGAGATACGATGCCGTGCTACGTAGTCGGAAACCCGACTGATTCGAGACTTTCGTTGCGAGCACATCGAGTTCTCCGTCAAAAAGAGCAACTTGAGCGTCCCTCACAATCGACACGCAAGTTCTGTTCTTAGTGCAATGGGATTTTTCTTTTAGTTCCATGTGGTTTAATATCAAATGCAAGTCTATAACAGCTTGCATTTGATGACTTCCTGGAGATTCCAAAAGTTTTGTGGCGATGGCAACCAAAAGCACATGAATATCTCGGTAAAGAGAGGTAGAGCCACCTTTGTGAGCTCCTCCAACTAATGCTTGTGCCAGTGACTCGACTAACCCTTGTTCTAATAGCATCCTCAGAGCATTGGGATTCTGCAATTATACCTTTACTTGTTATTTTACTTAGGAAACAACGTTGCAAGGTGGTACCATACCTTTGCAATTACATCAGTGATAAAAGACACTATTGGTCTAGCTACGTTTGGTTCGGTAGCTGCAGCTTTTGCTATCATCGCCATTAATGGAGGCATGGCGGCCAATGTTGGTCCTCTTAAAGCTAAATTCTCTAAAGCAACCACCAACGGTTCACTTCCTGGATATAATGCTACTTGATTAGCTAAATGCATAAAATACTTTTGTTTTATGAATTTGTTAACTTCTTCGTCGCTAGCACGTTGCAAGTATGTTTGGACGACCTGCAAAACGATTATGTCCATAATTTATGAACGGAAATAAAATTTCAATGTTATATCAGTTTTATGCTACCTTGATCAATGCTGTTCGAACTCTAGTGTCAGGATTATTAGCTAAAACAAGTAGGAGCTCTGCTCTTAGAACATGTTTTAGCACCGAGCCAACTTGACTGTCAGGTAAAACTCTAACTGCATCTCGCAATAGTAGCAAAAGTCCTTCGCAAACCAGTCCTTGGCAAGCTTTTCTTTCGTCTGTCCATGTAGACTGTCTTTCCTGAACAGAAAATCATTATTTACGATAAAGTTGAATGTTATAGTTAACACATGAATTGATCATTGTTTCAAACTTACATTACTCAGAGGATTAGATCCATCGCTAGCCGCAATTCCAGAATCTTCTCCAGCACTGGTATCTTGAGGAGGCCCATTTCGACGTTCCTTCCTTTTTGGTATTCTGTTCTTTTGAATCTGTAACCCTCGACAAAATTTAATATTATAACTCTTACTAAACTTTTATGCAGTTAAGACGTTTGAGTACTCACCTGTGCATTTGTTAAACCTTTGCTCAGTTTACTGTTCTCTAGAGTTCCTATAGATTCATCAGAAGAACTAGAAGTTACTGTGTTGGTGACTTTCACAAACTTTTTCTCACCTATGGGTGGCAATAAGAAATATATGTTGTGCCTCGAATGAGTTATGTAAGTTTCCGACGCTTGGTGAACAAGAACTAAATAATCTGTAATGGCTACTAAATGAGCAAATTCTGGGGGAGCCCCCATTAGTGCTCTTATTAATTCAACCACCGCAGATCCAGTCGTGGAATCGAGTACAGCGCCCAGTTCTTCGTACATGAAGTGCTCCTATATAAGAAATAAGACACACGGGAAATTATTTGTTAGCACATGCAATATTCTGAAAGTACAGTAAACTTACTTTGCACAGCGTTAAAATTGTGTCAACAATTCCTACTCTATTCAATTGCGACGCATTAAATTCACGCTGTGAATGCTGATCTCTTAAGAGCAATAACAATGCTTGTAATAGCAAGTTTAACGTATCGTGTTTCGCCCACGTTCTCCACGCAGTCAATGCACCTTTGATCAACTCAGGATCCGTGATGACAGCTTCGCAATTTTGTGAGACCAAATGATTGCCGCTGCCGATATCTTTTATTAGGATCGAACTATCACAAGCTGCATCTAACATTGCTTTCAGAATATGTCTACCTGCGTGGCACCGTGGCGATTCTAGAACGCGTAGAATTAAAGATGTTCCACCTTCGGATCGATACTGATTTAAAAGTTCGGAATCATTTCGTATTAAGTGTAGAACTATCGAAAGAGCTAATGCTTGCTCTTCCTCGTTTGAGTTCAATTCAACTACCTGCATGCAACGAATTCTCTTTAGTGGTTATTACTAAATTTATATATGGATTTTGTTATGTATACGGTACTTACTCTTGCGAACAGATATAAAAATATTGGTACTCCACCCACTAGTGTAGCAGCTGGTACAAGACCTCTATACTGTTGGCATTCTAGCCGAACAGACAATATCGGAGCTACAGACAGAGGTGGTTGCTGTGAAACTCTGTGTTCTGGTGCAGAAAGAACTCTAAAACCTGGTTGACCCGGAAATAGATTTCTGACTACAGCTGAAAATCAGTACATATAATGAGAGCCATATAATGAGACTGTACTAAACAACGTAAAGATTGGAATACCTACCAGCAGGATTCGCAATTGCTTGAGGATACAAATGCACAATATTGGGATTTTGTGCTTCATAACTAAGAAGTAAATTATCTTGCAATTCCCCTAAGTGAGAATTTGTGGCATCCATAACTGCATCCCAATCGATTTTAGTATCAGACACTTTAGTTTCGACAGCGCGTCTTAAATATGTTCCTCCATAAGATTTCCGTCGACTGGTATCGAATTTGCCTCCCTCTGATTTAAATATAGACATAATTATACATTACTTGTAATAAAAATAGTAATCGCATGGATCTTGATGCTCACCAAATCTTATTTCACGAACACCATCCAGAGCTCCAGATGCGATTAGCGGCGCGAAATCTGGTTTCTCTGTATTTAAAATACATTCAGCGAGATTAGTATAATTAGGCCCAAGGCTTGCTAGGTATAGTGCTCTCTCCTTTGTAAATACTGGACACCTGTAAGTTTAATTGTTACCGATAGGTATACGTAACATGATAATTAATTGACAGCTTCATATCATGTGACCAAGATGCATACCTGAATACCATTAAATTACCAAGATACCAAGCACCGATGTTGCTTGATCCGACCTGCCCTAATAAAACGCACGTAGTACCAGGTTTTCTCACCAATAGGCCATCGAATGGTAATTGTGCATTGATTTCTCTCCAGCCATCTACCCAAAGGACAACTTCGACCACGGCGCTGCGCTTGTTCAAAACGGTATCTTTGAAATTCAGTGCCAGATGATGCCATCGACCAGAAGGAAGCATACCAGTTACCGACGTTTCTGAGATCGTCCGATTAGTTTTGTCGTCTGGTCGGGTTAATCGCAAAATCAACTTGTCTGAAACGCATGTAATTGATATTTTAAGTGGTCAAAAATAAAGAACTATTGGAAGTACATAAATGAGTTTATTTACCTGATTTAAGATCTAACCATGTTTCAAGAACCAGAGACTCAAATCCGATAGACATCAAATGAACAATGGACGTCGGAGTAGGTGGAGATGTCGAACCTGCTACGACTGATACACCCAAGAAAAGATCAGACATCGTTTGGTCTTTCCACGATAATTCGAGAAGCATGCGTTCAATCAAAAATAACGATCGTATGGTTCATTAAAGTCGGAATATTCGTTACACGAGTTTAAAAGAATTTATAACATGTTAGTTCACGCGAAACGATGCTTTACCAACCTTCTCGACTCCAGTTATCTGACAAGATACCCCAGTCTGACAAACTCTCATTGTCTGAGTCTAACAACGGTGATGTATTAATCAATATTCCTTTGCCGTTAATAGGTAATCCTCTTTCGACTCTTAGCCACATTGAAACGGAGCAACCTTGCAACCAAACTGGCCAAGCCAATTCAGGCCCGACTGGTAAACACGTTGCATGTACAGACCATGGACTGCATACACCGGACGCTAAATGTCTCTTTCGAAAGTTGTTTACCATATTCTCAGCCTTTTCTAAGTTCTTATATTCTTCTGATTGAGTTTTTAAGAATACTTTTGCCTCGGACATCACGGGGAACGACAGGATGAAATTGGGCTGTGGGCGTGCAACTAGGACAAGATGATAAAGTGGTTGCAATAACGAGAGAAGCGGTGGTGTATTGACTTTGAACAAAGCCAAATATGTGACTAATTCTGACGGTGAAATGGATTGTGTCGCCAATAAGGTGAACACTTCTAAAATAGCGTGTTGCAGATCTGAAAATTCAACATAGGTTAAATACGGAGCGACAAACTTTAAATCTTCCGAACTTACCTTGATATTGAGTATCCCTATTAGTGAATATATCTCTAAAACCATTTAATATTTTTGTGATAACGCCTGAGCCAGCCAGAGCGGCACAACTCGAAGCACTTTCTCTGCAAGTTACTGCAACTTTTCTCAGTCCAGCAGTTATGATAGAAGCTCTCTCGGCATCCAGACCTCTGCGAAAAATTGCTCATTTTATACAATCGTTGTAACATTGCTTTATACAATAAATACTTACTGCTCACTGAAGTGAATCAACAAGTCAACTGCCAATGAGCACAAGGCAGGGTGAGCATTTGCATGACCACGAGGTTCGACTACGGGGCCCAACGAATTACTTCTTTTCACGTTGCTATTGTGAGGACTTCGTCCCGGTATTTCAACGTCGGCTTCATAACCATCATCAGCAGTCACATATTCGCCTGTGCTACTGTCATCTGCTGCACAATCTGGCATGGCGTCTAATGTCATAGTTGGTAACTGATAACAACAAAAAATGCTGAATATAATCAAAGAAATCAACTTGTAAAAGAAAAGCAGAAAGAAATGAAACTCTACCCTCGGCCGGGTGTATTGTGGTATAGTTTCTTCTTGAGCCGGCTTCAGCATAGACACTTTCAATAAAGCTTCTATAATGATGGCCAATCCACGACCCAGTTTGATGCCGGTGTCCATCAGTGCTCTTCCCAATTCCATTATCACATCGGAGTCACCTGTATCAAGATTTTTATATACTACTTCTACCAACAGCGTAACAAGAAAAAGGCATTAACTTGTTAACAAGGAACTATTCTGCTATTCTTGGAAACAGCTTCTCCGCTAATAACATGGACACTTCTAGATGTTTGCCGGTGAAAAACATTCTGTGAACTGTTTTCGAGTCGACTGAATTCGCGCAGGTTATTACGTTTTAATCCGCAGCTGTGCGCGGCGGAAGAATAACGTGTAGGACAGAAACGTACTCGAAATGCTTATGATTCACGATTCGTTATATAAAAGACACTTACACAACGGGGATGTCAGGCAGCACGTGAGCAAAGCCTCGAAGAGTCTGTGCGCTGATTTATTAGTATCTAAAAAAGAAAAATACAAACGCGTAAATAAAAATTCAAGTATTCTTATAAATCAATAAAGTACAATCATACACACCCGCGATACTGTCCGTCGAAATCAGAACGGCCAACGTTTTGAAAAGTTGTAAAGACTTTTGGGAGACAGAGTGCGAGGACAGTTTCGCGCGAAATTTCGGGCTACACAGTGCTACACCAGCCGCGGCTCTCCACGCTGCGCTAGCTTGGTAAAGATTTATTGTTTTATTCGGATCGGCCTCATTATCGGTGTCTGGACACGAAGCAGTGACATCGGAATTGTCGAATACTTCTGGGAAACAGGAGAGCGTATCGATCGATCCTTCCAATTCGCTTCGATTGGCGGCAGTATCATTTTCTACGACGCTGCTGTTTGTTTCTAAAATAATTCGATCGCTCATCTCTGTGGTAGACATTTGATCCCTTAGTAGATTTGCGCATTTTCCATCGGTGTTACCATCCGCAGTATTTTCTAAGGCACGTAATAATTCCGCGGTTTCCTTCTCAAGAGAGTCAAACAAGGATTTAAGGGCAGACTTTTCAACGTTTTCCAGATTAACTTCCGTGGAACTTTTCCAAATTTCGATGATGACGGTAACTTCCAGTAGAGCATAAACGTTTCTGGTAAAGGTCGTGTCGGTCAACAGGGTCAGCACTTCTTCTAATCCATTAATTTCCGTAAATCCTTCGCATATTTGCGTGTTCACTATCAAACAGGATGTCGCGGATAGACAAGACTGAATGAGAAATTTGGCAGTGACGTTGCTTTTGTCAGCCGCGTAACAACTTTTAGCTTTTAAGAACGTCGGATAGAAGACCTTCAACAGTAATTCCTTTCTAATGTGAAACTTGGAGGAGGGTCCGATTTTCAACAAGTGAGCCATTATGGCATAGCAGAGTTTCGGATCGTCCAACTTCAACAGGTCCGCGTACAACTCGAGAAAATCCCAAGAAAAGGACATAGGCCTGTCGCAGGTGGGACATACGTCGGATTCGGAATAAGCGGCGAGTTCTTTGAAGAACGTACGCTCCAGAAACGCCACAGCTGGAGCGTACGTTGCTGGATCATGCCTCTCAAGCAGGGACACGATGCTGGTCATGAGTATTCTTGGTGGAAAACAGCAACAGGTGCCTGCTGCTGTCGACACTTTGATCAATCGAACTTGTAGCTCGGTCGCGAAAGGATGAGACTGCTTCAGTAGATTAGCAAGCGTCATAAACAGAGAGGAAACGCAACAGGCTTGTTTCGTAACTGCGCCGACGATCGGTTGGGCATACGGTGTTCCAAATACATCCGAATGATGATGAATCTGCACGTTATTGATGCAGGATTTATGCTTTGTTCGATTGCAGTTAGTCGCATGAGAAATATCGCGTCGAACGGATTTCAAGCCGCTGGTCAGCGCACCTATCATATCAATGACCTTTCTGGCGCGGATTACCGACCTCGCTGGATCAACGCACGGTAGGTCAACAATCGCGTACACGGTCCGCTCGACCAGCTTCCCATCTTGACTCTCGGTAAACAGTTGGAATAATTCCAGAAAGTCGGATAGCTTCTCGATAGTGGTGCCCTGTTGATGTAACAAACAATAGAGGAAAGTGACGATTCCGTAGACGGTAGCGAAGATAAATTCCTGGAGAAGAGAGCCTTCTTCCGGCGAGAATACGTTCATAGGCTTGCTGCAAGCATCCTCGAGCAATCTAAGAGTCATGGGCAGCAAACCGTTGTGAATGACAGCGGTGGTAGGTTCGTTGGCCCTCAGCACGCGTTCCAAAGCGGTCAACATGAGCCTAGCGGCCGCTGCTTTTAACGTGGCACATTCTGTGCCGGTTAAATCCGTACAGTCGATACCAAACTGAAGGGACCACAAGGTGTCTAAAGCGAATTTTAAAACTTGCACTGCTGGTGTTTGTTCGGGCGGAGTATCGTAGTCTCGTAAGCCCTGAAGCAATTGGATGATCAAGAGACTGGCCTCGAAGCTACTGATCTTGGCGTCCAGCACTTGTTTGATCCTCTCATCCACGTAATCCGTGGGTGTTTTCTTGGCCGGCCTCGCGGGCAACTCGTACAGGGCCGCTTGCCATTTTTGTTCTTCGTCGCTTCTGACGACGGATGTAAAGTACTCAAAGTCCATAGGATTCAGGCGGATCTTCAGCGTGAGCGATCGTGCCTGATCGATACCGTCTGTCAGCAATTCGGACTCGCTGCTCGCGCTTTCCGGCGTGTTCCGACGCGCTTCGAACGCACCAAACGATCTTTGCCTGTGCTGCACCGGCACCTTAGCACCGATACTTTGTCCACGAGCTGCTCTTCTTCGCGACGGTACATTGCCTTCGTGGAGAACACCGTTTCGACCAGACTTTGCCGACCTGCGCCTCGCGTGCGGCACGATATCTACCGTGTCGACGGTGTCGTCGTTGCAGTAAAATTTTACATAAGGATTGCGCTCTTGGGCAACGCTCGTCGAATTCGTGGACACGTTCGAAGCGACGGAGGCTGCCTTGTTCGGTTCCTCTTGAAGAGCAACCGGGTACAATGCGACCAGCAGAGCGACCAGCTCTCGCGCGCAAGAAAGACCTCGTACACCGAGCAGTTGTAAAACCGCCAAGCAACGCCAACCACGATCCTGAGCCAGGTATCTCTTTAGTCCGACCAGTTCGTCTCCGTTGATCCTCTTCGAGCACAACTCGTGAACGTCCGAGAGCAACTCGCAAGCTACGAGGGTAGACACACCTCCACCTCCGGTTGAACTGTAACGGATATTTCCATGCTGCGTCTTACTTTTATATCCTTATCTTATCCCTCGAACTAGGTGCCGTTATCAATTTATTATCGGTCGATAGGTAATCATTGTATTTTGATGTTCACGTTTGCATAGAATATTATTTTCAGTGGGTGATGCGATATCTTCGAGGAAAGGTTTTAAACAGACGTTTCGATAAAAAAAATTGAAGCAAGGTGACAGAAAATCGATATTGTGTTGATCAGTGATACCGCCGTACACGCGAGACATTTGAAAATACTTCCTGGTAAGGTATAGATTTATATTCTGCTCATCGGATGAATCGGATAAACCAAATGGTGGTAATGGAATGGTGCAAGATAAAAATCAGTTACCCAAATCGAACGCGAAGTGTTGCGTTATACCCTGCGAAACCGCAGTTACGGGATCGTATTTTCATTCTGCGGTCAACGATCGCTTGTCTGTCGGGAAAACAAACTTGTATCTTCTTTATCCATTTTCTATTTTCAATGACTAAAGTCTCTTTCAAACACGAAACAAGTCAACGTTGCACATAACGGCCGCGGATTATTAAAGATATTGAGAATTAATTCGTTACTTCGATGCCTACGTATTCGACGCAAAATGTAACGCGAGATAAAGAAATAGTTTACGTTCGTTATCGATTCAGATACGATCGGGAGCTTACCAAAACGATAAAGCATCTTTCACATCTCGGCCTTCTTTCACTTGGGCAAGAAGTTCGGCGAGAAACACGTCCAACCAAGATGATTTCTATAAAAAGAAAGAAAATAAGGGAGAAGGCTTAAAATAATTTGTATAAAGATTCATTTTTTACCCTCTTGCAAAATGAACCGGAAAAGATTCAACATAATCTTTCAAAGATGCGATTCGAGGTTTCATCAGCGTTCAACGAAATAACAAATTATATCTCACGTAAATAGTGTACGAATAATGTTCTTTTTTTAGCAGTACCATGCTTTTTTCAAACGTGATACGGTAACAAGAAAAACAACTCGTTACGACAGAGATTACGAGCAAAGACGAGGAAATAGTAGATACAGAATACCGAATTAGATAAAAAAGAACAAAGATATTGTTTTGTTTCGTTTTCGAAGTGCAACCCAATTATTGCACGTGTCGTTGTATGAACGATAAAATAATCGGGACGATACGGAGCACCGACAAACAGCCGAAAAAATATACAGAGGCTGAAAGTTCGCGCGCACGATCTCGCCTTTGCTGAATTATAATTGTTATTTAACCCTTTCTCGTGAAACGTGTCAAAATAAATTGTTATTTACCAAGCGGCAATCGTATCGTGTTCGTCCGACACGTAAATACCATGATTCACACGGAAAACCACCACAAACAAAACGCCTCGGTTATCGATTATACCGAGCTTTGTGTAAATTTTGAGAGTACAATTTTATCCACACGAGCCGATAAGAAATTCGTGTAGTTCAAAGCGTTGCAGTTGTAATGACATAATCGCCCGTGCGGAAAGATATTACATATATCGTTCCGATTCGGTGTTTCGTCAAACTCTAATAATTTTTTTTCTTTTTTATAATCGTTATAAAAAGCAAGCGATTACGAGGTTACCGATACTAAAAGATTCGTTACATCGAACGACTTTATTCCGTGATTTTAACGAGAACATACAATGAAATCAATATCGTTTACGTTGTAACGAAGAACAGGATCTCGTATTATTTCGATCCTCGTGGCAAAGTATCGACAAGCATGTTACGCGTGACTTGTAAGTCATCCCAACACAAAAAGTTGTATTCAATTCGTGAGAGTACGACACGACTGTGATTACGAAATCCTGCATTATGCGACATGGTAAAAGACACGTTTTACGAGTGTATCTACATAAAAAGGCGCCCGTCTAAGCATGTTCGTGTTCATCATTGGTATATTAATTACCTAGCAATTTGCTTAACTATCTCGTAAAATTGTCGGGTTTGAATAGTAACTGAATGTTCGCACGAGCCAAAAAGCCTATCGAATAAAACCTGTTTTACCAGATAATTTGACTAAGATTGCAGTAACCCTCGATGTACCACTTAATCGGTTATGGGGAAATTGTTATTGAATCTTTCGTGACAGAATCAGGTTTCTGTATCAAATGATGCAACTGTATTTAATAGAAGTTGATAAATACTTCTTCTGGTAATTTGTAGAATAATGACTGTTCACTAAACAATACGTTCTGGACCTCGAGCAAAATTAATCATTGAACCGAAAAATTTTGCAAATTAAACTGAATACGTAAACAAGGTTATCGATTCAGTTTATTCCAGTAAATTTGCATGCGCAAATAAGTACAGGCAAATAAATTGCCTGTACGTGTAAATCTATTTTTAGACATTAATGAGAAAGGATAAACGTCAAGGTGGAATCTGTCTAATAACAACTTGTTCTACTAATACGAACATAAAAATTCTTAATAAGTTGAATAAACCAACTTGATTAAATAGACATTTCCAAGGAACTTCGAGGGAATAATTTCACTTGGAATCTGGGGTTCGGAGCTACATATTGTAACAAGATAATGATTCAAAACATTGACGCGGTCTCTGCGTGGAAGAGACAACCGCAAATGATATATGCTGGCCTTCGTAACCACTGTTGCAAATGTTTCGAAATTATAAGACTGCAGCTTCGAAGAAGGAATGTATGGAGTTATAAGATTAATTTAAAGAATTAGTGCAATATCGATGTATCGAATGAAAAGTAATTAAAACTAAATAATGTATCGATACGAGTGCATCATAGAAGAAGAAACAGTCTGACTGGAGTGTTCGAACAAGTAAAGTCTTATGAAAACGCTGCTCCAAATTGATGAAACGAAAGGACAAAATTCTCTTAAATCTAAAAAGACGTGCAAGAGGCAGATGAAGGTAGAAGGTACTAGAACAGAAGATAATGCGATTCTTGTCGGTAGAAATTCCAAGACCAACGACAGAGATCGTTGTACCTCGTAACTCTGCGGCTCGGCACGAATGAAATGGTCCCAGAAAATCTGCAGCTTGCTGGTCGAAGCCGGAGACATTCCTAGACGGTCTTCGTACTCTTTCTCGTCGTCTTCCTCCCTGTCCTCGGTTCTCAGCCGTGTGTCTTCCTCATAACTCGGAAACTCGTCGAAACTGAACCATGGGTAGACAGCGGCGTCCTCGGGTAATCTTCGAGGATCACCGCCAGCGCACGTAGCTACTCGATCACCTGAAAGATCGTTCAGCTTACACGTTTGATCCAGCGAAGGTAGGACTTCGCGATTCACGTCATTCGATTATAATTGAAACGCGTCGCGATCCTCGCGAAGAAAAACGACGATAATTCAAGCTAAGTCGCGTCAGTCGGTGTCTCCTCCTCGCGTACCAATCACGACCGTGTATACCACACCGTGTGTTTCTCTGTACGCGTTCACGCGTCGATCGACTTCAGCTTACATAACATCCCCACGAGTCCACGACAGACCAGTCGTTCCAGCGTTCCAGTGCGGGAAGCCTGCAAGCTTCTCTGAAGCAACCAAGAGGCCACAAGGGGAGAGCAGTAACCCCGTGTTGTTCATAAAGCAGCGAACGTGGCCAGCACCGGCAGCATCGCGGCCACCAACACCACTGGGACGCGGTGACACCGTTGGTTAGCTATTTGCTGGCGCGCCACAATGCCAGAGTAACCCGGGTCTACACCAGCATCGGGGCTAACCGCTTATCACCCGATTTTACTCTCTCTCGTGCCATACGACTCGTGCTGTCCGTCTGTCCAGCCGTCTCCTCCTTATCGCTCGAGAACGAGCTTGCGACGCGATTCTTTCTTCCACGGTCTCTTTAAAACAAGCGTAGACACCAAAATTTCGCGTTAAAACCTGATTATTAGAATATTTTTAGTTAACGAAAAGGAAGAAGAGTTCATTTGAAATTTCTATTGTTATTAAACGCGTGTAAAGATAAATCTCCAAAGATCTTTACCTCGAGAATATAATATCAATCCGGTGAAAAATTAATCTCGGAGATGTTAGGAACTTATGAAAGACAACTGTGTCTACTCTTATTTTAAACGGACTGTACCTCGAAGCAAAATCCCCTAGTACCGATATTGTGTAAATACAGAGTAATATTATGGATCTGTGTTTCTCGACTTTCTTGTTCGGTCCCGGTCAACACGACAATGTACCGGAAACGTTGAGGGTACAGTCGTCACTGATCATCTTTGATCACGGGTACTGCTTCGTCGTATCTCCCAAAGAAACCATCAGGAGAACGTTCGATACACGTTGAGACCACCACCGAGTTCACCACCAGCATCGGGGATCACGACCTCTTTGACTGATCGGTTGATCGGTTCCACTTGACTGATGATATACGAGTTTCCTTCTGTTATGACTTTTTACTACGATGCGCGATGGTCGTTGATCCTGCACCCCTTGCAACTTTGTATCCGAATCAACGATATCGTTCCAAAGAATATTCGCGGACAACCACGTTACTCGCTGTTCATCTTTTTCCAAAGATTTTCTGATCGCGGCGACGTTGCTCGTGAAATAAGGTCGCTATCAAAGACGCTAAATCGCCGGCAGAGACGCGGAATGGACGCGTTGACGATCACCGACTATGTACAAGGCTACTTCGCCGGCTGATCTCGACGAGTCTTCGCATCGAGATCTACGTACTAACTGTCTACGACACGATAGAACGGTAGGGGGCAATCTATGTAAGAGACGAGCCTCCCGTGGAACAAACGGGGCCTCCAATCGGCTTCTTCCTTCGATGAAAACTTATGATTCATGCATCGTCAATATCTTTGTCCCCTGTGTCTCAAAAGGAAAGAGAAAAAAGAATATAGAAGGGTGAGCGAATCCTGTGAAAGGTAGAAGACGGTAAACACAAAGGGTAAATGCAAGTACCTTTCTTGAATGTTCGATTCGTCGAGGCAACCCTTGTTCGAACAGGTATATACCCATTAGTCAGTCACTAATTAACGAAACGTTGAACGGGTCAACTCCCACGTATTACGTTATCTATCTAAGAAACGTAAGAAATGTAAATGAAACCGTCTGAATGTATTGTATAATATATGATTTCGCGAGATTTCATAACAGACGAGAAACTGGCGATGGAATGTTACGAAATTTTACGCCGCTATCTTTGCAGAAATTATAATATTATGCACCGCGTGTATACGTGCACGCGTGTATGCACGTAAGAGTACTGTACGTGCACGACGATCGAGCGAACCAGCAATATTGCATAGAATTATCGGCTCTGAAACGATGTTTCCACCCCCACCTAACAGCGGCAGCAGCGAACAGTCAGCTCCCTGGCAAACAATGATAACCGCGAACACGTGCAAACAATTGAAAACAGTTTTCAGTAGGCAGCAGCCGTGCAGCCGTAATTGTCGATCAATCTTTGACTCGTATAGGCAACTCATTATTGTGCTGCGTGATTATCTTAATGGAGCTCCTACCCCACCGTTCTTTAATTAGACTCGGCTCACCAGTTAGATAATACTGTTCCAGCCGCGTCTTCTTCTTCTTCGCGAAAAACCAATCGATATTTGCTCCGCGTGTGTCAAGTGAAAGAAAGAAGTAGACTGTAACGTGATATTGAAACAGCGAGATAAGAATTACATTAAAAAAAGTGTTCGCGTTGCATTTTTCTTCAGTGATACTCTATTTTTGGAGGTAAACCATTTTGTGCAAAAAATTAAAGACTCTTCAACACCGGTCTAGTCTTGATCGTTTACGGGAATGTACAATGACGTTCGTTGGAATGTTCACGTGTGTTTCTCGATAACTTCTTCGTTACGATTCGCGTCTCACCAATACGCAACTAGTTGCACGGTATCTTGGCCTTGACTTTTATGTTTATCTTGATGGAGGAACGGTTCTGGAAACTATTTTCTATACAAAGATCATTCGTAATCCTGCTTTTCCTTCGTTCGATTAATCTAGCATTTTCCAAACTTCCATGGATCATTTTCGACAACGACCATCTTTCCTGACCAACTCTACATCCCAAATTTTTCGTCCTTTTATAATAAATATTTCGACACCAAGTAAAAATTAAATAAAAAATACCGCTTTATTATTGATCCACAATAATAAGTGATGGCCATCCATATTTTGGAAATTTTTAGATCGACTAATTTGCGAATTCATCGATATTTTAGATATTCTTCGCGAACATTTTCAGTAACTTGATCAGTTTTATGTAATTTGAATGATCGCGTTGTATGACAAACAACAAACGGTAAACTTAGATAATAGTTGACCTTCGATGTGCTTCATACAATGTCATATTACGATCGAAGATACTGAAACAATTTTTTCCCGTTCAATTTTTACCGTTCAAACTGATACTTTCAATATGCGTCACATTCCCGCCATTTCTATCGAGTTCGCGATCTCGTGCGCAATGAGGTATCACGGTAAATGTCACCTATGCGCGAATGACAAGAACGGGATGACAATAGCTTTTAGAAAAGTATAGAGTGATTCTTCCTATTATTCACACGAAATATCCGTTACCTGAGGAACGTCGACCGAATCGATGCAATAATTGTTAATGATTTGTCACAATTGTTGGTTATTAGAATAACAACATTGACACCATTGTTCTTTCTTAATATACGAAGCGCGTACGATAACCGCTATTGGACACTGGAAACGGACGTTGTTATTCTCGCCCTCCAAGTGATTTTTGCGCCATTTTCGAAAGATTTTTAGGAACAATCTTTTCTCCTAATGAAAGCACACAGCACGAAACGTATGCATCGAATTTAGAAAATGTCTTACCGTACCATATATGTAATTTTGTAAATAAACAGGTTAGCTGATCGATTGATTCGTGTCACTTTAATAACATTTCACTCAAACAAGTATTAACTTTTATTCAAACGATGACTCTTTGTGGATCGTAAATATATTTTAGTAGTTAAGAAAAACTTCTTGATTTTGTATTTACACTATTAATTAACATTTAACTATCTTTAAATGGTGCTGCCACCTGTCCTTATCCGTGACATTTTTAAAAATCAGATAGAAACTTCAGTTTGTACCATCAAAGACGGTCCTGAAACGTTCTTAACCTCGATAAACTTTGTTCCTTCTCCATGAAAGCATAAACATATTTCTTCGATATACCGTTAAAAATACAAAATGACTGTATGGGAGAGGTTGCGGAATCCCTGTGGCTGGAGAGCTGGTGCTAAACAGATTTCAGTCGATGCGATGATACCGATTTTTGCAGTCCCGACTTTGGCGGTGATAGCCGCACAGACAGTGTTATGTACTGTAATTATATTTGTTGCAACGCCGATATTGGTGTACTATTTACATCATAATTTTCTGAGGTTCTTACTACGTACTAAATTCTTTTTAATGTGGACAATCACTAGCGTTATCATGTTGATGCTAATCTTTGAAATAAGCGTTGTACCATTGTTAGAAATATTACCAGAAGAGAATGTAGTGTTTATCATTTGTGTTGTGGGAGGCATATGGTGTGGCTATGTAACTAAAGTAAATGCTGATTCCGCTACTCAGGAGAGTACTCTTTTGCAAGGCTTGGAACTCGGTGAAGGAAGCGGAGAGCTTTGCATTACGTGTAGAAGAAGAGCACCTCCTAAAGCACATCATTGTAGGATGTGTCAAACTTGTATTCTCAATAGGGAATATCATTGCAAATGGTATAGTTTAGTTTATACGGTATTTCATTTTTACCTTGTTTATTATCAAGATTGTGGACATATATTTTATATTTTAGGCTGGATTGTTGTATAGGTTCAAGCAACTTAAAGTGGTATCTGGCATGTTTACTCTTCTCTGCTATAGCTTTCATCTATGGTTCTAATTTAACTATGACTAGCGTTTGTCATCCTTTCATAGTTATTGGCACTATCCTTTTACCAGATGATTGCAGCGACGTGTACCATCAATTGGAGTATGTATGGTTTAAAAGATATTTTATATTTAATGTCATTAATTGATAATGAATACGATCAAATGATATCTTAAGTATAATATACTCGGAGGAAATACAATACTTTCCATTATTAAGACTGAAAATTAAACTGGAAAGATACAGAGGATCTACAATACAAACTTTAATAATCGCAAAATACTGATAATTGTTGAGAGTCGTGTTAACGTCATAAATATTGTAATATCTCTTATTTGCTTTCTGACAATATAAAAGTTGAATAGATAACGTGTCGCGCAACTGTTTGCTTTGGGTACCCGGTCAATGTATAATAATGTACATATTGTTCCAGCATTGCCCTTTGCTTCGTCTCTGCTCTCTACAGCTTGCTCGTTGGGCTAGTGGTAGTTTGTTATTTAATATATCATCTTTGGTTAATTTACCTTGGCACAACATCGAACGAACGTCGCCTTCTTGAAGCTGGAAGCCAGTATGACCATGGGATGTTGAAAAATGTGTCTCGATTGTTTTGCTGCAAAACTTAGTTATTATTAAAATATTATTAAATTTACTTTGTACGGAAGACGATACTTTGCTCTCTTTAAAGGGTATTAGAAAAAATCCGTCATAACGGTACGTCAAACGCAACGCACATTTTAATATTAATTCAACCGCACCTTTATCATTATTACTTGATTGTTCATTTTTGTTGATTTGTTTTAATCATTTTTTACAGCAGTGAGATACTTAATACTCTTAAAATATTATTAATAATGTTAAGCTTAGTAAAACCATACCATGATCTGTATAAACGCGCTGACTTCGGTTAAAATATTAATTATTTATAATTCACTATCAAGCACAATTGTATATTTATTGTAACTGTGATAAAGTGGCCATTGTACAACTAATATAATAAATTGTATTGATCGATTACAGTATGATATAGTACAGCTAAGATCTAAACATAAATTAATTCAATGTAATAAATGTTTACATTTTTTTTTTAAATACAAAAGAATATAATATTAACAATCATCGCGTTGTATAAATCCGCATTTATGCAATTCTTATATTCCACTTTTAGTATCTCGAATTAATTTTAATCTTCCAGAGCTACGCCTCTCTGTTTAGGATTAAAATCAGGAATCACCTTCTGAACTAATTGCCGTAATTCGTCTTTCCTCTTTTCGCTTTCTTTAATATCAGCCACTATCGTGATATACTTCTTCCAAACGTTGAAGTATTTAATTTTTAATCGATTTTCGTAATGACTATAAGCTATCTGGATTTTCTTCTCCTCTTCTGTTTTAAATTCAACAGTTTTTATATGCCATAATTTAAAATATTTGTCTAAAAGTTTCATGTCATGAAAATCTGTGGCAACTTGGTACTTGAGATTCGCTTCCTTGACCGTGTCTCTCCATTGTTCAAATATTCTTATTATCAAATTTTTACTATAGATCGAGTTAGCGAGTTCAGTTTTAATCATACATCGAGTTTCAGCTTCTTTTTTCCAAGCTGTAAATGCCTTCCACGTCAACCGTTCTCGATAATGGTCTTCAGCTTTTTTCATATTTTTCTTATTTAATTCTATAAGTTCTATCAATGGTCTCATACAATGTCTTAACAGACACTTTCTGTAAAATTCATCTGCTATACAATTTAATTTCTGAAACCTTTCGATTTCGCGTAAACGATGTTCTTCCCGCTCTTTCCTTAATCTTTTCGTCTCGGCCAAAGCCTGTTAACATAAACGAAGAAAAAATCCATCGCATTACCTCTTTATTAAAGCGTTATCGCCTCCTAATTGTGTAAAAAATATTTATTGTTAAAACGATATCGTAACTTTATGAGGTAAAATTAATGCTTTATGACACTCTGTATGACATTAATATACTTTGACCTCGCGTATTATCTGACCTCTCGTTCTAATCTTCTCTTCGTCTGTTCCTCCTCCATTCTGGCAGCTTCTTCCTTTCTTTTCTGCTCCTCCAATCTCTTCCTGCGCGATTCCTCTGCTAGTTTAACTCTTTTTCGTCTGGCCTCTGCTCGAGCTTCCATCCTTAACAAAAATTCTGGCGGAGCGGATGGTTGACGGGGTTCCGTTAAGTTTTCGTCCCTATTTACTCATAAGTGTGTATGAACTCATAAGAATACAATAAGTATATGCGAAACCCTATGTAATGATGACAATATAATGATATCTACTGTATTACCTATATCCAGATTGTTTCATCAAGTGAATCAAAGTTCTTCTTGTCCTTTGACCCAGATGCGTGAACGTCTCTTTCGCCATATTCACCGTCTCCTTACTCGCCTTAGATATCTCTTCTTGCATCTGTTTCAATTTCAATTCCTCAATAATCCTGTTCTGTTCATCCAATTTAGCTTTCTGCTTCTCTATAATCCGTTTCTGCGCGATCAATCGGTTTTGTGCCGGCGACTCCACGATAACGTGCTTACAGTGTACGTTTTTCTTTTTCGAACATGCACTGTTCGATTCTTTTACAACCACTCTGTTTTTCGGTTTACGACTTTTCATTAATTCTTTTTGACGTTCTGTAACAGCGTTTATGAACAATTCTATTCTTCGTTCTTCCAATATTTCTTTCACCTGTGTGTTTTTCGATTCGGTGATTTTTTTACATTTCACTCGTGTTCTCCAAATATCGAAATACTTTCTTGTTAGTTTTGAAATCATGTTTTGTCGAATCTTGGTTTTAATGTCTCGAATTCGTTGTTCTTCTAATGCATTTTCTCTCAGAATATCGAAATACTTTTTTAAAAGATGTAAACGTTGTGTTTGCGGTTCGAAATTAAGTTTATCTTTAATCGTTACTTTGATGTTTCCTGAACTTGGTATTTCATTTTTGTCCTTTGGAATCTCTGTTACTGTATTTTCTTTTCGAACAGTATCCGTAATTCCTTTATTCTTCTCTGGTTTTCCTCCTATATTTGGCTGTAAACGTTAGATTATTATGCTGTTATATTATTAGTAATTCATACAAACCTTGCTTCTTATTCTTTTAAACGTTTCCCAAAAGTTCTCATCATTCGATGGCGCCAGATTTTTTTTCCGGTACGAAGAATGTTTCGAGAACTTCGGCCGAGATCTGCGCAATTCCATTTCAAATTTCTTTAGTTCTCTGTCGAAGTATCGTTGTTGCTTCTTCATATATAATTCTTTCGTCTCTTCTTCTGTAAACGATCTATAAAATAACAATTTTTAATTTAATAAAATAACAGTTTTTGAATTGTGTCCACACCTTTTCGCTTCAGCCAAAGCTGAGCGTTCTGCGGATGTAAGAAGAAAATTTTCTCGTAGTGTTCGATGTCTCTCATCCATTACCACGTTTGGATCAAGGAACGTTTTTTCGTCATCTTTTGCCATTTCAAGCTTCTCCAGACGATGAAAAATGTTCACCTTCATTAATTGGCCCATAAGGTCTTCCGTTGCTTCGTTTAAGTGCACCATGATGACTGTAGATGAAGTAATTAAATAAAGAAGTATTATAATCTTTAAATATATTATGCAGCTATAGTAGACTGTAGTTGACGAGTTGTTGTTTCGTTGTTAAGGAAAGTTATGAAATATCCCCCTATACACGCACGTGAACGTTCCAACCCCATTCATAAAACAGGGGGTGGAAATATCTGGGGTCAGGCGAGGACACTATTGACTTTGCTTTGTACATTCTGATCAAAAAAGATTCGTGTAATATCTTTATTCATATGTTAAAAATAAAATTCTATTCAATATTTGCGTGCATTTATCCGTTTTAATATTTGATAGAAAATATCAAAATATTACTTGATTGAATTTGCTTATTTATTACTCACTACAATATTTAACAGAAGAGATAGAAATATTAAAATTTTATATTTTTTTTCAAAATGTAATTAACGAGTGTAACAATTAACTGAAAGTTTATTATTATCATTTAGTATTATATCGCTGCGTTATCAATTTCATTTGACGATTCGAAATTTCCCCGCCATTTCAGTGGTGCTCAATCAGCATTATGAAACTGATAACGTCGATTGTTGACGAGCCAGTGTGCTGCAGCAGGTGCATCACAAAGCAAAAAGTGCATCGACTTCGAAAACTTATGAATTGAAGATGGTAAGTTTCCTTTTCTAGAGGATAGTCAATCAACACAGATCCTACTCGTTTGTGATTTGTCGTTATCGTTATCCTATCTTTCGAGCTATCTAAAATTCGTACGAGTGCCATCGTTACGATTAAAGGAATTGAGTTTCTTTATTCTTATTTATCCTTTGACAATAGAGTTAATTGTAGTTTCAAAGCATGACTTCAGCAAGTTGCAGATGTAATATCCCTGGTACACGACGAGAAATAAAATGGATCCAAGGGGCCCTCCTGAGGGGGCCCCTGTCAGCTCTTTTGAGATCCCTAATATTGACAAAATAACTGACACTTCAGTAAATTGGCCTATTGATCATTCTCTTTCTTCATCAATGTGCGAACAGCCCAAAAAGATGAATCACAATAAATTACTGTTTTTAACTGTAAGTAAACTCATAAGGCTATAGTTTAACAGACTTTTTTACAGGGTACAATGTTTGAAATCACTTTGTTACTAGGTGGAGTACGTGGAAGATCACTCTCGAGAGTATTCTCGTTTATTTCCAACTTACGAACAAGTTTCATTTTCTCCTAGACCCTCTTCTCCTCTTTCTGATTTTGAACATCGTGTTAGTCCCCTTGACCCAAATATGAGTTCAGCTGCTAGATATTCACCTACTCCAGTCCAACTTCCACCATCTCCTTTTCATAATTCTGTTGTTGTTCTGCAAGGTTCTTCTCCTTTAATATCTCCATCCGAGTCAAATGAAAGGACAAACGTTCACTATGTTTCCCAGCTGACGCATCCAATTGATACACAGAATGTACAGCAGTCAGATACTACTGCTGATTTTGTTGCCAATGAAAATGAAGAACAACTAGTTCCTAGTGTTGGTAGCGAATTGATTTTGATGCAAGGTAACTAATGGAAGGTCATTCTTTTAAGGACACATTGAAAGTCTGAATGTAACATTATATTTATGAACTATACTTGCAGAATCTAATTCTGGATTAGAATCAGCAACAGCTCCCTTGATGTTAACAGGAATGCCAAGTACAGATTTTACATTGAGTAGAGATTTTCTTGTTATGCAGGATGATCAAATAAATGTGATAAATTCATTTAAAACACAGAATCTTGATGTAGATGATCCAACGGTTTCATCATCTGTGGAGAATTCCAAGAAAAAAAATAGTACAGATCCTTTAGCTATGCCTAAAGAACAAGTTAATGAAATTTTAGCACCTACTAAAGAAAAGAAAGATCATGAAAAACAGAATGTTAGACGTTCTAAACGCCGTATAAATGATAAAAAAAATTTTTGTAAGTAATTTCATTACTTCATCATTTCTTAATTGCAATATTAAATATAACGTCATTATAGGTTGTGATGAATGTGATGATGTATGCACTGGAGATAATTGCACTTCCCATAATGTATGTACAATAGCAGATCAGCCTGTACCATCGCGTGCTATAGCAACACTGCCAGGATCATATCTTTCAATAAATAAATTACCCACTAGTGAAATTATATCAGGCGGATCTGATTATGGGGTATTTGCAAAGCGTTATATACAAAAACGTACTCAATTTGGTCCTATAGAAGGTATTTTATATCCTTATGATGGTACACCATTTAAAAATGAATTACCATTGCTTTATGAAACTGAAGATAAGGAACTTCTTAAAATTGACGTTTCAAACGAAAGTATGTATTCTACAGAATCGTGCCTAATATGTGCAAAATATTCATAGTTGAAGTATCTCATTGATATTACAGATGCTTCAAATTGGATGCGTTTCGTTAGACCCGCATTTACGTACAAAGAACAAAATTTAATAATTTGTCAACAACGTGATGGAATAGTATTTTTGACTACAAGAAGCATTTTACCAAAGGAAGAATTAAGGGCTGGTCCCAGTACTGATTATGCAATTCGTAGGAACTTAATACCGCTTAAACCTGTACAAGAATCAAAAGATGATAAAGGTACTCTAGGTGTAAACATAATAATTAAAATGATGCTTATATGTATGTAACTTTCAATTACAGAACATAAAAATCAATTATCCGGATGGTCACGACTGGAAGATAATCATTCGCGTCGTGTGAAAGCATTCCGGGGCAGAAATTTAAAAGAAAAGGAAAATTCCCGACAAAATAACTCTAAGGAATGGAAATGTTCAGTTTGTGGTTTAATTTTTAGAAAACCGCTGTTGCTTAATTTACACACTCTTGCTCATAGCACTGATAAAGTAAAAACAAAGATTCAGTCTACAGTCTGTCCACAATGTGGATTACAGTTTCAAAAACAGAAAGAGTTGATTAATCATGTTTCACAACATGGAAGGTTATCTTTAACAAAGACGAAAAGATTGACTTCTTTATCTACGTATAAGTGTTCAATGTGTTATAAACGTTTTGCAACAAAAGTACGACTGCAGCAGCACTGTTTGGTGCATGGTGCTGAAGACCAAAAACCACTGCCATGTAATATTTGCTTTAAACGATTCATGAATAATTCAGCGCTATCTTGTCACTTAAAAACACACAGAGGTGAATTATATTTATACGAGTTAAATCTAACGCGGAAAACTAATTATCACATACGTCTATATTCTGTTTTAGAGAACAAACAGCTGTTTGAATGTCCCATGTGTCGGCAATTATTTAGTCAAAGCGTAACGCTAAAAGAACACATTGAAACTCATAAAAAAGAAGATGGTACATTTAGCTGTCCTTACTGCCAAAGAATATTTATTAAATATTCAGTTATTCGTAAACATATTAGAGCTCATCATTGTGAAAGAAAACATAAATGTCAGATTTGTGCGAAGCGATTTGCGACGGTTGACAAACTACAAATGCATTTACTGAAACATTCTGATCATAGGTACTAAAATTTATACATGGAAGTTTATACTCCGTGTACTATAAAGTGCTTCTTTCCTTACAGAGAATTTCATTGCGCAAATTGTGGCAAACAGTTTAAAAGAAAAGATAAGCTAAAAGAACATATGACTAAATTGCACAATTCACAAACTGCTACGGAAGAACAAATGTCACAGGTTACACAAACTAAAAAATTTGTCCCAAAGGTATTTTTATTTAAATATCTTTTAAAGTAACCAACTTGATTAAATAGAACCTTTAATAATTAATATATTATTAATTACTAGGTAAATCCTAATGATTATAACCGTTTCATTTATAAATGTCACCAATGTCTAGTGGGTTTTAAACGAAGGGGAATGCTCGTAAATCATTTGGCAAAACGTCATCCTGACGTTGCACCTGAATCTGTACCAGAATTAAATTTACCCATTTTACGCCAGACGAGAGATTATTATTGCCAATATTGTGATAAGGTATAATATAAAGAGTTCAATTAGATTTTAGTTTAAGGAACCATTTTTGTACTGACATCGTCTTTTAAAGGTTTATAAAAGTAGCAGTAAACGTAAAGCGCATATCATGAAAAATCATCCAGGAGCTGCTTTACCGCCGAGCAACAGGCAGAAAGAGTCTGATTATTCTGATTTACCTAATCCGACGTTTAGTCAAACAGTTGGTAGTATCACAACCACACCACAAGGTTGCCAATGGTGTCATAAACAATATGCTAGCAAGGTAAGTAAATGTAGCGCACAGTTTTTAGAAAATATAATCAATCCACCGACTATCACAGGCAAAGCTTTTGCAACATCAACGAAAAAAACATTCCAATTTGATGGAACCAGCTGATCAAGTACCGCGATCACGTAACCGGCAACCACAGAATCAGAATCAACCCCCTGTACTTATTGAAGATCATTTTGTGTTATCCGATTACATTCAAGCATGTGATACAAATTCAGAATTTTTTAAACCAAGAATAATCAAGATATCCGATGACGTTGATCTGATAAGTAACGGATTGGAAATTGTTGGACAACAGTTTGTTCGTATGCGTGACATACGTTGAAAAGGATTAAGGCAACCTCGACGCGAGGTTTTGTCAATTTACTGAGATATGAATCTCATGAATTTGTGCACAGTAAAGAAACACTGTGCTTTTTGCTGCTGTTGCCAAATAAGGGCATTGCTGCCCGTCAGGAGTAATTGATTCTCCGCTGGGAAATATTTGGAGCACAGCTTGATCAGCGTCAGTGCGAAACACTCGACGCTGTTTTGTTGGTTGTATGGTTGACAATGATGTGTTGTTACGATCGTGAATGGATCGTTAACTTTGACAAATTTGTTGGAACGGAGCACACGCTATTTTATGAAAACTTTCAGCTCAAAGGGCTAAAACAAGGATAAAGATTTATGCGAAATCACACAATAAGTAACACAAACATGGAGATTTAAGACTAAACACAATGGGAAACATGTTAATTACTGAGATCTTTGCTCAAGGTATTACAAATACAGAGCGCAAGAAAGGTAGAAGAAATTCCCTTACTGACGGTACATTTCTGACATTAACTCTAGTAGGTTCTTTTGAAATTTTGAAAAAGCTTCAATTCGATGTGATTAAATTATGGATGTTAGAGCGATCGAGTTTGAGCTTCAAGTTTAAAGTGAAATTTAAACACGACTTAAATTTGGGAAACTATTGAATCTTAGATCAGTATAATCAAGTCTATACAATGTGATTTCTTTTATAGACCTGATCTTAGTATCTACATGTTGCATTCGACTTTGATGATAAAACAGTTGTCTGTAGGATTACACAAAATGTTGTAGTCTGTAAAGAATCATCCGATCACTTTTACTCTCTCGTGATTTACAACTTTCCGTCATAATTCCTCATATATGTCATTCTCGTTTAGAGCAAAGTACTTTTGGTCTTAGATTCTCAGATCAATTAGGATTCCTTTGCGCGCCAATTTTTCAGGAAGACTAGTTTTATCCACACAAAGTAGCGTGACAGTTTTGCATCCATCGCACTCATCGAATTGAAATATCTGGTTGAAGTTGAAGGTATTAATATTTACCTAGACAAGAAAAACTTTTGTCTTTGTAATTTTACAATGCATGTAAAATGAAAACGTTAAAAACAGAAGATCCGCATGCATCTCATCAAATTTTATCTACGATATATTGCAAACAATCATACTTTTCGAAAAGCGATCTCGTACATCAAAAATTGGCGGAAAAAAAAAATAGAAATTTATTTTACATGCATTATATACATAATATAAATATTATGGAAAAGCGAAGACAAAAGAGTGCATGTTTGTTAATGTTGTTGAGTACATGGAGAACTGTATTGTAACATGACTTAAATAAAATTACCCGGTGACGGATACACGTATAATTTACTGCAGCAAACAACCTGTTCCTATAATACAAATCGTCACTATTCTGAACCGCTAGAAGAATAATTTATTTTTCTTTTCATTTAAGATAATACATTGTACGATCTACTACATACTTTTAATTAAATTTATTTTTCTTTTTCAGTAGTTCAAAGCCTGTTTTATCTATTCCTGGAAACTTTGCTTTGAAATTTTTCGCTGACAATAGCTAAAGGCCCAACGGCATCGGGCTTATGAGCCGCATTAGATGTTGTCGCAATTGAACTTCCTTTCTGCGACTGAGCCATTTCATGCAATTGTTTTTGCATGACAATTAAAGAAACATTGTTAGCTGAGAAAAAATCCTTCATAGAAATCAATTCTCCAGACATCCTTCTAGATGTATCTGAATCATCTCCCTTAAAGGAATCCCTCGCAGCTACTCTGGTTCCTCTTCTTTTGGAAAAATATACTGTAGACATGTAGGACTTCCTTCTCGGTAAATGCGACGCAGCCATTTCTTGATTTCTGCATTGTATCTTACGTATTACGTAATTTAATCCCTGCTTTATTATAATCGATGTTACGTTTAATAGGGAATACGTGCAGCAGCAGCCGATCAGCAGGAATAAGAAATTAGCGATACGATACCTGTATAAAAATACTTGTATAACAGTTTTACAAAGTATGTCATCAGTTGAGAAATTAGAGAACGTACCAATAAACGTATGGGTAATGTGATTTTTCGGTACTAACGAAATCCCCAAAACCGATAGTCGTAAAGCTAATAAAACAAAAGTAAAGCGCGTCCACGTACTTCCAACCCTCGAGGGGAGCATAAACGGTGGCAGCGCAACAAGCTATAATACAACATACGATTGAAAGAAAAAGCATAACCAAGTATACACTTGGTTTCCATTCTTCCATATTCAAGCTGCCATCATCATCGTCAAGTATATCGGGCAAAGTAGGCTTTTCTTCTGCTGTCGATTTGAATGAACGACTTGTACTCAAGGAATTTTTCCGGACGCGTCTTTTCAAATGGCGTGCATGCACATTGCGCAGAATCCAAGCGAGAAACGTGATGATTCTTTCCAGAAATAAATTGAAGAATAAAATTCCACCTGTGCCACGGGGAAGATTAAAATGTATTAAGTTGACCGTAATAACATTTCTCTGTAACAATTGGTAATAATAATTGCTACCGGAACAACCGAAAAAGCCGTAGAGAACAGCAAGTACTTTGCCAGTAGTCGTTTGCGGCGTAGTGTTTCCATAGCCTAAAGAAGAAACAAATTCAAAATCAAATGTACGCATTTTCTGTAGAAGTACTGATGTACATGTAAGACAGCACACAGGAGAGAATTATTGCAATACTGGGTCGCAAGATATTAATATTCTGGAATTCACCAGTACATTCTTATGCGTACTGCAGACGACGACCCTTACCCCCTTTTATTCGACGGCTGTTATGACCAAGTTTCACGCGATAATACTATCGTCAATAAATCGACTTTTAGTCAAACTATCGGAAAATAACCAAACAGATACCAAATATATAGGATAAAAGTGTTGCAAATTATTTCGCAATTAATGACACAGTTAAACAGACAATTTTCCGAAAAACATCGCAAAAGAAACAAAACTATAACTGAAGATAAAATACTGCATGTGTGGCTTGTATACCACTGACCCATTACTCAAGTTTATTTGCAATTACAAATGAAACGTTTAGAATTTTACATGAACTCTCCCACTATTATGGGACACGGAGATTTACGGAGACTATCGCATGCGACAGTAAATTCTATGTTAAACGTTGAGCATTGAATCAGCAAAAATTATGTTATCACACGTTGTATCATCACGTACTATAAATTGCTGCTTACCAATTGTGGAAACAATGGTGCTCACGAAGTGAAAACTTCCAGAAAAATCCCATCGTCGACTTTTGTTGATGATGCCTGATGATGACGCGTTTCCATAAGCATACAACAGTTCGTCTAATCTTTGTATAGCGACCGGCCCACGTTGTAGATGATGTCTTCGAAAAGTATGATATACGCGCCAAAATTCTGCCGCCTGCTTGAGACGATTATAAATTAATTCAAATTTATTTTACTCGTGATATACATTTTAAACATTTTATTATGAGTATACATTGATGAGATAATTTGGAAAGCATAATGCAAGAGCTAACAGAAGATAAGTTCACCTGTCGAACTTCAAGGTCAGCTTCTAGTTGTTGAAAGAGTGCAGCTCCAGTTAACATGTACACTACTAGGACAACGAAAAGAAGGATAAACCTTGTGTTGTCCTCCCCGAGGCCAGTGCACATGCACATCACCGATGATTCTCATCTCTCCGGACACGAGTGACTGAACGTGATCCCCACTTTCACTTTTCACCCGGGTTGGCGCAAACTCGACGACGATTAACCACGAAGATCTACATCTTTGGCGACGATTATAGATACAGCAATGTACCTGTGTAAACAATGTTTCTTCGAATTGCAATTTTGTACGTGTAGTCAATGTTCTCACATATAATTTGAATCAAATTGTCCGTATTCGTGTAATTTTAATAGTAATAGATCAAATGATTTTCGACTACGATATTCGTATAGTTTATGATTGCTTTATTTAAAACTCTGTATACTTTATTTAAAGTTTACATTTAAAAATCTCTGAATGAATGCATTTGTGAAATAAGACCTCGAAAATGGAGGACATCATAGTGTACAGAAGTACTGAAAGAAGATTTTTTGATAGGCTAAAAATAGAAAGCGAATCAGTGTACAAAAAGAGCCCCTTTCGCGAATAGGGCGAAGAGTAAACTCTGCACGTGATTATTTTCAGGATACGATGGTTTTATGGATTTCGTCGTAAAATACGCGAAGGTTTATATCGTTTTTTAGAGAGGACAGGATCTATAGGATGTACGAAAGTAAATTATGCGGAATTTATAATAAAAATAAAGTTTGTTAACAGTTCATGTAAACAATCTAACGGCGGTACGATATTTACAGAAATATCGCAAACTAGGCACATTGATCCTTACATCGAAATACTTGTAAAGGTACACATGTATAAATCTATGAAATTCATAACATTTACATTAACCACTATAATACTATCAGATACGCTACCCGGACGTACAGATCGCGCGATTTACACTATGATTTAACAAATCATGTTTTAATAATAAAGAGAAACAATTATCAGTGCCTCGTTTGTGGACCTTCTTCCAATTTTCGCCAAACAACCTGAAACATACATAGTCACAATAAAAATCATATATCAAGCAATTACGCTTCTCCAAAAGATATTTTAACGATTAAACGTTAACCTACATTGCACATTTCTCTGACCAAGGCCTTCTCTCCGTCGTGGCCACCCTCCTCTCTTTCAAGTTGTTCTCGAACCTCGAGAACTTGAAGAGCTCGTACTACTGCTTCTGGCCGACCTCCTATATGGGGATTTTCACTGGGACTATTTTGATTTCCCCAAATTTCACCGGGTTGCACTTCCCATCCTTGAGCGCGTGCTTGCAGAACGCTCTTGTCTTCTTCGAGTTGTTTTACGCGTTGTTCCAAACTCCTTACATATTGCATAGTTTGATCTGTAAAATACATTGTAGTTGAAAAAACCTTCTTATGCGGTTAAACCATTAACGTAATTAGGATTTTTATCTGAGGTGGCAATATGTACCGTTAAAAGTAGAAATATGTCTAGGTCTAGGAGGTGCAGTTTCCTCAGCGTTGGTGCTGGAACTCGAACCATCTCCGTCATCTCTTTGACCACCTCCTCTTTCTTCGTCCAGATAAAGGCACAGTTCCTTCAATTCAAGATTGTCCTTGATCAACTCTTGTTGCTTGTTGTCCAATTGTCGTAACTTATTTTGGTAAGCGGAAACTTCCTGTCGCATGACGCTTGCCGTGTATCGTCCAAATCTTTGCCACTCCCTTGCCAATTTTCGCCCTTTCTGTCGATCATCGTCCAGGAAACAACAGAGATCCCGTAGTTCCTGATTATCATCGCTTAATCTTTGGTTTGCCTCTTTCAACGCTCGCAATTCGCTTAACTGAAATAAAATATAATTATTATTATTAAAATTTCTGAAAGGCATAATTTACTCGTTTGTGGCGAACGACTTTCAATTAAAAATAAGACTTGGAGTTTCGCGGCGGTCATTCACGAGCGGACTCACGTGTGCGTGACTGGTTGAAATTACGACAGTGGACTCGACCCGTGTGACCTAAAACAGCCTCAAAAACTTCCGTATGATGTACTGAAGTTCCGTGATGGCACTTTTTTTTCGCGAATTCAAGTAAGGTGAACGAGATAAACTAAACGAATCAAGTATTCTATCGAAATACATCATTACTTTCTCTTCTTATTTGGTACTATTATGTAACTCTTTTACTATTGTTAATAACAAAATGTATACGATAAGTTGTGACACGTCTCTCACGATTTTGATATCGCATCGAACACGTCGATTTCTTATCTTTTTAATGACACAATTTCTGATTTAATCGTTCCGGTTTATCGAACGAACAGCAGACAAAAATGACGTAAATGACAGGTCCACTCACCAAGCTCTGTATCTGTCGATTTTGCTCGGCAGCAAGCCTCGCGATGTCGCTCTCGGTCTTACGGACAAACTTGAGCATCTCCACGGGTCCGAGCCTCAGGAACTCGTCGTCGCTGATCCTCTGTCTGATCGGCGGTGTTTGTGTACTGTTTACCGTGGGATATTGACCGTTAGGCGGCAAGTACTGACCTTGGCCGACCTTGGCCTGAAGGTAACTATGCGGTTGGGTTTTGGTGACGGGTGCAATCAACGTGTTTCCGCCTTGAGGATGATGTCGGTGCTCTATCCTCGGCGAATACTTGCTCTGCGCATCCTTTTGCTGCGACACCGGTCGCTGTTGCGTCGACTGATGATGATTCAAGGTCGCGGTTGGACCTTGAACCGAAGTTGACACGGAGGTCGGCACAGCAGGGTTAGCGACGAAATGAGGATGATTCTTGAGGATACCGCTGGTCGGTTGCGGCGGTGGCTGATATCGCGGCGGTACTTGGTCCACTGTCGTTTTAATCACGTGCGAAGGATGTTGCTGCTGCTGCTGCTGCTGCTGCTGTTGCTGCTGCTGCTGCGGCTGGGACTTACTCTTATTGGACATCGCGGCTAATTTAGCTCCAGGCTGCGATGTGTCCCATTTCAGAGAGTCCACCGTGACTTCTTCGTACCGGCTTGTCGTCGTTCGACCCGCTAAAATCTGGGTCACCGTGCGGTCCCTTCTTTCTCTCTGTTTCCTGCTCTTTCTCTCTCTCCCCCCAAGTTTCAATTTACTACTTAAGACGTGGTCCTTACGATAGCTGTCTCCTCTTCGTTAACTTGACCGTCCTGCAGACCTACGGTTACTTCTAAGTTCAAACTGTCAAACATCTTTCGCGTTTTCGCTGCTGTCCAAACTAGAGTTCTTACGTTACCCGGATTTACTAGTATTCGAGTACTGGGATACTCGCTCAATTATGATCGGAATATTCGAATATATCCGGGTACTTGGATACTCGTGTTGAATTTATATCCAAGTCACTTCTTGAAACCGGTTCTAAAAGATAGCAGCTCTCGTGGTAACTGCCCGGTTTCAGCACCGAGTTATTACCATTTTTAATATTTTATTGTTCCATTATTGTATTACTTTACTATTGTTCTATTTCACTGCTGTTATGTATAATATTTTACTATTCTACCATTTATAGTATATCTTTCACTAAGAACTTAAAATAAGTTCTAATTGGAATTTAAGTGTAATACACTACGTATTCGGTATTTAATAACATAGCGAACAAGTACCCGTTATGACGCTTCAACTTGAAAGAAAGAGCTGCGTATCTGTGCAAAGACGAAAAAAATTGGAATCCAAATACTAGAGATTGAAGTTTGGATACTCCGATACTGACACTCGTATCCTTCGGAGCTCGGGTTATAACGAGTACTCCGCGTACTCAGATACCTGGGTAGTAAGTACTCTAGTCCAAACTGTCCACTCGATCGTTCACAACGCGAAATCGCGATCACGAAATGGATGTTTTACCGTCGAAGTATTCGAACGCATTGAACGACTACCGTACTACTTAGTGGTCCGAGAACAACCGTGGCTTCGTCGCGGTATTAAAGAGTCGTTGTCCTCGGTTTACGCCGTAATTCCGAACGATCGTACGGTATGCTCGCGTTCCACCTGTCAACAGCCGATTTAAAGCGCAAGAGCATACTTAGTTTCCCGACAAAACGTAGAGATTCGGCGAAACGTCGGTCACTTGGACACCGATTATCGTTACGAAATCCTGAGAAATACCAACGATATTACACTCCCGAGAGTTAATGCGCTCAACCGGGGCCCCGTTTTTCTCGCTGCGGGTCCGCTGCATTTCACGAGACTCAGTGCCGTAGCATCGAGAGGGGCACTCCGGTAAAAGCTTGTCGTCCGTGACCGCACACGGTAAACCTGACAGGTAGGCTTTCACGTTCTCGTCACAATTGTCAGTCAACTATACTTGCATCGTATCCTTGCACACGGCTGTCTCTTTTCCTCTCGCCGTTCTCTAGCATCCGGAAGGAATCTGTACGGCCCAATCGATCGACGTTTCGATGACTTTACACTCGCGTATAATCTGTACTCGTAGCACTTGCCAGCTCTCGATCATCGCTGCATGATATCACATAACTTATTGTATCATTTATTTTTTCTAACGATTCTCATTATTCACTGGTATCCGGGTTGATAGTTTTCAAGGAGATTCGTGTGGAAATCGCGCATTTACAATATGGCGACGATCGTGGGCCTGCGACCCGAGAAACGATTGCGGACGACGCTGGGACTTTAAGGTTGTAACGCGGGAACGTACAAGCAACTTCTGATTGGACGAACCTGCTCTTTTAAGAGGGGATTTAACAACGTGTTTGACTTGTGGGAGGTTAAAAGGAACAAAATTTTGTGTCATAAAAGGATCTGTACGATACAAAGGTTTCTCGAAGCCTCATTGTATATTGTCAATTGTTTAAAAAATTATATAATTCTAACAAATGGTGCTATTTAAAAAATAAATATTTAGAGCATTCGATTGCATTCGATTAAAAATGAATGATCGTTATTTTTTAACCTCCATCGCAAGACGTTTGATGGATTTGATTAATATGTTTTATGATTTATAGCCTGTCAGAAAATGATGAAATGTGCCGTGAAATGAGAACAAGAACCTTAAGATTTAAGGAGATACTTACGTTACTGGCTGCACTTGTGCATGCCAGGTGTTTGAGCCTTTTCTACCTACCATGACAATTCCCAATAATATTTCACCGCCTATGCTACGGATACCTGTACGCTGTATCCGTGTTCTTTTACTCTACACTCATTCTTTCATACGAACAAAGCTGGAAGAAGCCGAAGGAATTTCTTTTAAAGCAGGGTCATCCGCAAATAATCCTCTTCTTCGTAAAATTCGTATTTAATAATTTATTTAAATTATTACACTTGTATCATATAATAATAGTAGTTTCAAACATGGTAATCCTTAGAAGATTAAAAATTTTAATTACATCGAGAGTGAAACGAAAGAAACTGATCGATTATGCGAGCACAGTAGTACGAGTCAACGATCGATGAATCGTACGCTTTGCGATCCTTCCGGCTCTCATACTGTGCATGTAAAATCTAAAATATAAAATTAATTGACCCCTGTAGGGACCCTATATATCCCCAATGTATTCGCAAATATTATTATATAATCACACATCCACATTTCAATATTTATATCGGATTTAAAAACAGAAAGAAATCGGATCCGACTCAACCAAACTTTTTGGACTATCAGGTCTTAGAACTTTGCAATTTTCGATTCAGCTACCCTTTATTTAGCTCAAGTGAGATATGCTTTAGAATTAAATAAAAAGTAATAAGTACGTGATTTACAAAACCAAATCTAAACTTGCGTCATTGACAGATAGTACATACTTTTTAATTTTTAAGTATTTATATAGAGAAAATGCTGATATCTTGTTATCAGCTATATTATCACCATATGTTATCGACTTGTAGTTTCTCCTGTTAAATTCCAGAACAATGCAGTAATATTCGTCCTCTCCTTTGCGTACGTATTCTCGTTAAAAATACTGAATAATTTTACTATTATTTATCGATATAATTATATTGCTTCGATCATTGAAAATCCATTTGAATTTATTTTATTAGTCTTCCATGTCGGCTGACAATCTGTATACACAATATTCGTTCTATAGCTATTCTATATAATATTCACCCTGATATAGTAAATCGTGATATATTTCAAAAATTAAAATACACACAGAAATTTAGTGAAGATAAGAGTCTAACATTTTTGTCAAGATCATGTAAGAAAAAATTTCATAGAATGTTAATGTTTTATACAACGTGTCAAAACAAGATCCTGAAACAGAACTCTGCGCGCGCTTGATTTGCGACCTTGCTATATCTTAGAGACTATGCACAGTATAGCAATTACGAATGAATATAGAAACCGTGATGGAAAAAGGAATTGTTTACATTTTGATATGGCGGCGTTATATTACTTAGAAAACTTTGACAGCAGCTTTTTTGGATATAACACTATACATATTTTATCGAAATTTTTATCATGCAATATGATATGAGAAAATAGCAGTAGGGTTTTTTGTGGTTAGGTACATTACAATTTATGATCTTTGGTGTAAAATTTATGGCATATAGTTAATGATGTGTCAAGATTATGTAATCTCATAGGATAATACGATTTTTTATAGCTATTAAATTACATTAGTGCATCTGCCGCCGTCGCGAAGGAAGGTTAATTGCTTACGTGTCACGTTGAGGTATAATATTTTTTTTTTCAATATGTAGCTTCTACATGTATATAAACTAGCAACAAAACTTTTATTTAATTATGTACATATGTATATATTTTAAAACAAACGTTTTATGTTAACTGTGTGAGTAAATATTATTGTAATTAATTGTACTATATGAAATATATATATTTTAATTCAATTTGAATTATTTAGAAATATTGCAATTTAACAAGCAGTCACTTTTAATTGCTTCTTAGAATTATTATTTTTCAAAATGATTGTAACGTTAACATACATATGGATTGACATTGCATTAGCATATCGTGTTTGATTTCCTAGCACTCACTAATTCTTTCTGTAGTCTAGTTTTAAAAGAAAAGCACAATAATTGTAGATTAATACATTAAAGATAACAATTAGAACCACAGAAATACAATGGCAAGTGAAACCTGGAATGTAATGGTGACGGGGGGTGCTGGGTACATTGGTTCTCATACAGTATTGGAACTAGTACAAGCTGGTTTTGAGGTGGTGGTAATAGACAACCTTAGTAATGCTTATAAAGGTGAGATGTAACAAATCAAGAAATAAAGCAATAATTAATGTTTATAAATCATTGCAATAGAATGAGGATGAAAATAATAAGGTTTTATAATACATAAAATCATCCTATTGTTATAATTAATTGATAACGAGTATATGATAATGTATATTTTTTCTTTATGTAGGAGATAATGATGCAAAACCTGAATGCTTACTGAGAGTAGAAAAGTTAATAAACAAACAAATTACATTCATTCCCTGTGATATTACAAATATCAATGACCTGAGAAATGTATTTAAAAAGGTATGATTGAAACTATTCTCACATATAAGTAAGTAAAATGTCTAATTGAAATAATAATGTTCCAGCACAAATTTCACTGCATTTTACACTTTGCTGCTTTGAAAGCTGTGGGTGAATCTTGTGAGAAACCTTTAGAGTACTATAAAACGAATGTTTGTGGAACATTGAATTTATTAAAAGTTATGAGAGAATATAATGTAACACGCTTCATTTATTCAAGTAGTGCTACAGTTTATGGTACCCCAGAAAAACTTCCTTTAGCTGAAAATATGAAAACTGGTCAATGTACAAATCCTTATGGAAAGACAAAATACATGGTTGAAGAAATCTTAAAAGATTTATGCACTTCAGATGAGGTAGTAATTTTGATAATTATTTTCATTTTTAATTTAATGAATTAGACATTTATAGTAAAAGGGTTTCCAGGCTTGGTCTGTTATATCATTAAGATATTTTAATCCAGTTGGGGCTCATCCTTCTGGGCTGATAGGTGAAGACCCTAATGGAATTCCAAATAATTTAATGCCATACATTGCTCAAGTATCTGTTGGAAAAAGAGAAGTATTATATATTTATGGTAATGATTATGATACTCCTGATGGAACAGGTCAGTAAGAAAATCAAATTATTTTACGAAATAAATGTAAAACAGAAATATCATTCAACATGATTACTATTTTTTTTATAGGTGTTCGTGACTATATTCATATTACAGATTTGGCTACTGGCCATGTAAAAGCAATGATTTACCAAAAGCTTAAAAATCCCACAGGATTTAAAGCAATTAATTTAGGTACTGGCAAAGGTTATTCTGTACTTGAAGTTGTACAGGCCTTTGAAAAAGCTTCTGGACAAAAAATCCCATACAAAATAGTCAATCGTAGACCTGGAGATGTATCTGCTAGCTATGCAGATCCTAGTTTAGCCAATAAAGAATTAGGATGGCAAGCTACGAAAAATATAGATGACATGTGTAAGTTGTTGAATAAGTAACAATTATTTCTCTAATAAATTAAAGTTCATAGTATAATATTTTACAACTCATTATTGTAGGTCTAGATACATGGAAATGGCAACAGAATAATCCAAATGGTTATAAACGTTATTAATAATAATTGTTAAAACATTTTATAGTTGGAAATTTTTAAGCATTTAAAAGAAGCATTTATTTTATTTTTAATTATATTATACATAAGCCATGGGTGGTATCTGGTTACCAAAGTTTAGACCAAAAATACAATTTCTTTTATACTAATGAGCTAATTTTAAGGTTAACTGTTACTTCTGTGTAACGTCACTTATGAAAAGTATTACTCTTGTATTTAATTGCAATAAGTAATTCCATATGTAAATGTATACATATAAGCATTTGTTCTTAAGCAATATAATGCCATATAATGTTATGTTCCTACAATTGTACAAATTACCTCATGTTAATAAATAAGAAAGTATTGAATTATTAAAATTTTTATTGTTTGTATTATCGTCTGAAGAATGGTCAGTAATGCATTATTTACATGGTTCCATCATAAAAGTTCATAAATAATGTTCGGGTAACGAGTAATTAATTATTTTGTGTCAGCATTGCGATACGTACATGAGCCGCCTATGTCAATTCTACTGCGCATGCAAAGTGCAATATTTCGGCACTTTGACGACGTAGTATGGTTCCTGAGGCATTTAGAAACAAATTTCTATTAGGGTTTGATGCGTTTTGATGCCTAATAAAGCCAGAAAATCAATTTTTGTCGAAATCGGTCCAAAACGGTACAGGTGGCGCCATCTAGCGGAGAGCGGCGGAACTACGAAAAACTAAAATTTCGATTTTCTCGAAAACTAGGGACTTTTCCGAAATTCTGAGATATACAAATTCTTCCTTGTCGCCTACGGAATCGAACGAATCTAATTATAGCTGGCTAGGACCATTATTAAAGAAAATAGAAAAATAGCCCATTTCATGGACTAAAAAATTGCCGTCCATCTAGCGGTGAAAGTTGGAACTACAAAAATAGAAAATCTCGATTTTCTCGAAACCTAGGGACTTTTCC